CTTTTTGAACAGTTGTTTTGTTTTTGTTTCTTTTTTTTTTTTTTTTTTCTTTTTTTTTTTTTCTTGCACAGCTTTACAAAACCGTATAGTTAAAGGCACAGAGCTAAACTAGGGCATCTTCAGAGTTCCTTTATAGCATTAGGAGCTAGGATTCACCCTCAAAGAGGAGAAAACCAATCACTTCAGTAGAGACAAAAATACTACACTACCTTTAAATAAACCAGGGAATAAAAACCCTCTCTCCTTTGTACCTCACAGGGGAGTGGATAGAGAAAGTTCCCAATTCATAATTATAAATCAGATGTTTAAAAATTCCCATGAGTTGGGGCCAGACAGTAGCATGGTGGTTAAGGCACTGTCTTCCTCTATGGCTGACAGTGGTTTGACCCTTAGACTGGGCCTGAGCTTGAAAATCACGCCTGAAGAGTGTGCATGAGTGCCCCAAATCCCAAAATCTTCATGAGAATGAAGGAGAAGGGATTGTGGTGTGGCCAGTCTCCCTGGGAGGTGAATTCTCACTTTTCCTTTCTCTGTCTCTCTCTGGCAAGGGCATGCGCCCTATGGCAAAAAGCTAAAAAACAAAAAATAAATTTTTTTTAAAAAAATTAAAAGTGAACCTTGTAAGATAATATAAACTGTTACCTACTTGTACCTATTTATTTATGTCATTCAGTATTTTCTAATGCTTGACAAATAAAACAAAATATGAACTGAGGAGGAGAAATAACATTTAATGGGCATCAGGAACAACATTTAATGGGGCCAGCAGATGGAGTGTAGGTTTAGATGGCTGGATCCCACATGGCTGACTGTGTGGTTCAAGACCCAGCCCCAGCAGCTTGAAAAACACACTGGATGCATGTGCATGCATGCCCAAAATCCCAAAGGAGAAGTGGAGAAAAGGGATTGTGGCATGGCCATCCTCCCAGGGGGTTGCTTTTTTACTTTCCTCCACTCTCTCTCTGTCTTAGGCAAGTACACTTGCCCTATAGCAAAAATTGAAAACAATAACAAACAAAAAAGTTTAATGGAGGGACCAGCAGGTGGCATGGTGGTTAAGGGTGCTGGACTCCCACATGGCCGACTATGGTTCAAGTCTCAGACATGGTGGCTTGCTTTCTCATGCGTGAGCTCACTCTCTCACATTATCACTCTCTGGTCAAATTAAAATAAATAAATGGATAAGTAAAGTTAAATAATAAAATAATTATTTTTAAAAAAGTTTAATGGATGGACCAGCAGTTAGCGTAATGGCTCTGTCGCTGGACTCCCACATGGTCGACCGCAGTTTGTGTCCCAGACCCGGTGGCTTAAAACCCACGCCGGGTGCGTGTGCGTGCGTGCCCAAGATCCCGAGAGGAGAATGGAGGAGAAGGGATTGCGGTGTGGCCATCCCCCCTGGGGGGTGATTTCTCGCTTTCTGTCTCTCTCTGTCTGTCTGGCGAGCGCACGCACCCTACAGCAAAAACCTCTCCAAAGGGGGAAAAAAAAAAAAAGAGGAAGCCATATCTAAAGTTGTAAAACTTAATAGTATTTAAACATTATTTTCCAATATCTGTTTTAAATATTGGATGGCATGTAAGGTTGTGCTTGAAAAAGAGATTTCCTCTCCTAAGAAATGAGATGGCTGGGTTGGAGTATTTCTGAGGGTAGTGCGGGTTGTCTTCAAAAAATTCGAGGCAAATGCACATTATAAAAAAAAAAATGCATGGATTTCAGAATTTTTCTACACCAAAATAAACTCACACTTTAATTCTACCTTTGCCACAAAGTCTTTAAAGTCCGATCATATTAGTTTTGATCATATTAATGTTGGCAACAAAGTAAAAAAATAGCCAAAATGACCTCACATGTGCTTAATCTTAAAAGACCAAAACTTGTTATCCATATGTTAGAAACATGAAAAGCTGGCAATTAGTAATACTTCCTGTGTGTGTCACTTTTCAAGCCCAGTTTAAAAGACAATGCGTCTTTTATCAATGATGAACTTTACGTCCAGGAAGTGTTCAGATGGTGGGATGACAAATAGTATGGTAAATGAAATATGATGCTGGATCTAAGACTAAACTAAGCAGCGTAAATTTATGGCAGAAGACCAGTTTTTTACAATTCTTATCAAATTTCTGAAATAGAACAAACTCGTCAAATCCCCGTGTCACTTATACCAACTGTAGGGGAAACCTAGGAAAATTTCCTCTTGTCAAGTTGCGAAAGAGCTCGGTTTCTAAACCATGGCTTTGTTCATTAAAAACTGACTTGATTGTCTGCAGAGAGACGCAGTAAGAGCAAACCATTGTGAATAAAGACAGACTTCTCAAACACTACAGGGAGAGAGTAACTGCAAGGCAGGACACAATTTAAAGTCAGGTTATGCCAGCTACAGGTTAGAGAGAAGATACTAAATGGAATAGAAGATCTGTCTTTAACACATACTTTCCTTGCAACAGAAATCTAGAGTAAAACCATGTTACTGTTCTCACAGTACTGCTTGAATAAGGCATCACTGTTGTTTGATCCTCTGGTTTCCCACCCACAAATTTCCTCCTCCTTCCTTTCATATCAAACACCGTTTCTTTAGCCCAAGAGCAATGGACAAACATTCCTGATACATAAAAGTTGTAAATATAGAATTAAAATACAGTGTTATAGAACTATCAATGGATGATCATCTGACCATCTCCTGAAATTAATACCAATATTTCTCTGGCCTCCAACTATTTAGGCCTTCAGCTCTTCTTTGGACATACCATTTTAAATATTTTAAACATTGAATAGAGTCTACTGCAAGAGGCTTTAAAGAGCTACTCTAAAAATAACTTTCTCTACTGGAAATCCTTGTTGAATTTCCACTTTCTATGTTTTGTTCCTAAATTTATTCAATGATCAAAATGAACTAGAATATGCAACAGTTAGAAATAGTTCCAAAATCTGGGACCAGCAGTTAGCATAATGGCTATGTCGCTGGACTCCCACGTAATCGACTGCAGTTTGTGTCCCAGACCTGGTGGCTTAAAACTCACGCCAGGTGCATGTCCGTGCATGCCCAAGATCCCGAGAGGAGAATGGAGGAGAAGGGATTGTGGCATGGCCATCCCCCCTAGGGGGCTATTTTTCGCTTTCTGTCTCTCTCTGTCTCTCTCTGCCTGTCTGGTGAGCGCACACGCCCTATAGCAAAAACCTCTCCAAAAAATAAAAAAAAGAAATAGTTCCAAAATCTCAGTGGATTAATATAACTAAAAATTTCTTCCTTACACATTCTCCTCGTCCAGTCAGAGCTTACAGATAACAATAATCCAGTTTCGACTGGCCTGTGGTGGCAGCTGTCACAACTGAGGCAACCCAACTAAGGGTGCTGCTTCAAGATAGCTTAATCAAGATGTCTCCTTCTTTTGAGGTTGACCTCAAATTCTTTCGTCCACAAAACCTTCCCTGCTATACTCCTGTCGTTCACTAACATAGTGATGAAACCTGCTTTCTTTGAGGACTGATTTCTCAAAACACTTTGCTTCTACTAAAAGT